TTTTTTGATCTCCTTTCCTTCCCAGTGAATATATTAAATGAAAAAAAAATATTTTTTTTTAATTAATAAAAAGGATGTACTATTGTACCATGTATACAATACAATTTATTTGTGTCATTGAAAAATAAACGAATGGTCAGAAGTGAACGTCCGGATAAAAAGGATTCCGCTTATCAGGGGCTTTTGAATGCTGTAGATCGGTTAAAAATCAAAGAAGTTTTAGACTCGAGACCAAAAGGGCAATACAGAATCGTCATTGTCGCCATGGAAAATCATTTAAAACCTCGATTGTTTTAATATTTATTTACATATGTTCTCGTAACCAAAAGCTAAACGCGTTTTCAATATTTATTTTTAGGGTAATCTGTATTGAACCTGACAGACCCCCTTTTTTCCTCGCCAAGTTTTTCCCCTATATTTTTACAGAATGGTCAGTCTTTTTCCTTTCTCCCATCCCAATTGCCTTTCTACAAATCCTACAATCAATCAAAAACATAACAGTTTTTCCTCGCTTACTTCCCAATTGCCAAAAGTTGTTCCATTTTTTATAAATTGAGAACAAAATTAATACTCCTCTTACTTTTTTTTGCATATACTTTCACTCGTATAAAATTAAATAATCCTTTTTGTTTGATTGCTGGCAAATATAGAAAGGCAATTGGGATGGGAGCAGAGGTGGGTCGGAATTCCGATTTCCGACTTCCGATTTCCGACGTTTTTTTCCTTCCGATTTCCGATTTCCGAAATTTTGGGAAAATTTCCGATTTCCGACAATTTTTAAGGCATATTTCCGACTAACAATTTTTCCAAAATTTTAAAATTTTCGCCTGCGGCGCTGAGAAAGGAAGAAATCTGGCTTCTAGCTTTCTATAATTCTCAAAATTTTCGCCTGCGGCGCAAAAAATGGAAGATCTTTGGCTTAAGGATCATCCAAAATTCTCAAAATTTTCGCCTGCGGCGCTGTAAATAATAGTTGAATGGTATATCGGAGGATTAGGATGGATTAAGGTGGACTTAGAGTTATATCGTGTAATTTCTAGGGGTCATAGGATCTGGGTGTGATATCGAGGGATTGAGTCTTAGATCATTGTGCGGCTCTTAAAAACTTTAGCTCTGTATTTCGAGCAGGAGTCTCTGATCTGGAGCGCAGATCCCCTGTATCCTTCAATATCCCCTGATATCCTCACCCCTGATCCCGGTCACTTTCGTAATTTTGGAAGGCCGTGAGGCAAGAGAGAAGTATGGGTGGTAAATTGGTGATTTGGTGAGGTGATCTGGTCTAATATCCCGTCTAATCACCAAAATCCCACAATATCTCTTTTAATCCCTTCGAATTTGACTCTTGAGTTGCAAAAAGAACATTTACTCACTCAAACTACACTCAAGAAGGCCAAAATTTGCCACCTTACAATTTTAAATATTATTTCAGTTATAAAAATAAAAATTTTATTTCCGATTTCCGCCTTCCGATTTCCGATTTCCGGCGTTTTTTTCCTTCCGATTTCCGATTTCCGATTTCCGAAAAAAAATTTTGATTTCCGATTTCCGACTTTTGAGCCATTTCCGATTTCCGACAGTTCCGATTTCCGACACCTCTGACTGTTCCGACCCACCTCTGGATGGGAGAAAGGAAAAAGACTGACCATTCTGTAAATATAGGGGAAAAACTTGGCGAGGAAAAAAGGGGTCTGTCAGGTTCAATATTAGCATTTTTAGGGTCATTTATTTTAATTTCTTAAAATGTTGCGCATCGCTACTCCAAAAATATTTTCACGTTCATTCCATTTTTGTGTTCGAAATGGTCAACAATTTGCTGATCTTAGCAAAATTGTTCACAAAGAATTAGGCACTCAATTTAAGTGTGTTTCAACTGCTGAGACATGTTCAATTTTAATTTTTTAAATTTTATAAAATAATTTTTTTAAGGTGCAATGTTGCAAGTATACGTTTCTGACCCGATGTTTAGCGGGTTACCGCTACAGAAACAGCAAGAGATGGTTTGGAATTTTTTGCCTAAATACTTAAAGTTTGTTACCACATTAGAAATTAAATAACTGAATTTCAGGAACCAAATTCGTTTGGAAACAGTTCCGCCTGTTAGTAAGGTTGTTTTGATGGAGAATGTTTTGGAGGAAACAAAAATTCCAGCAACTCCGCAGGATTACTTGAACAATGCTGTGTTTTTGTTGAACGGTGGAAATGGTTCTCTTGCATCTGAAGCAGCATGGAATTGTGGATCACTTCAGTTATCGAATTTTTTGCTTCGTCATCAACTTGACGCTAAACATGACGAATTAAAAGAGAGAGTTGTCGGTTTTTTAGAGAATTCGTTCACTGATCGGATTTTATCGGATCGCTTCTATGCTGCTTGGTCACTGTTGGAAGAGTAAAATTTTTAAATATTTATCTCCGAATCCTTAATTCTTTTTTAGAAATTTGAAAATAATTATTTTTATCTAATTAACACATTTTAGGGGCTATGAAAACTATTTCGAGGATGATTGTACTTTGGATGAAGTTAAAGAATTTCTTGAATATGCTGAACACTTTTGCAATATTCTTTACAATATTTATATGGAGAACTCTCTTAGCCGTGATGATTTCATCAATGGAGTTTCTCCTTATTTTATGGAAGAGGTTCAAAACTTTTTTAACTTATTTGTAATTTACAATTATATTTTAGTTGTTGATACCAATAGACGGCGAATGGAAGACAATCGAAAAGTGGAAGAAGCTTGGCAAAATTGAGTTGAAAGGAACGAGGCCGAATATTAAACTTATTTTTAAATAAGTTGTTATAAAAATTTTAATATTTTTTGCGGTTTTTAATAAATAATAAAAATGTTATATCCAAATTTTCGTTATTTTCTATTTAATTATATGAAGATTATTCTAAAATTATCTAAAAATTAACATGGTTTATTTGGCAATGGAGAGCGAATTAACGCAGCAATCAATCCCAAAGAGGAAATTAATGTAGAACCTTGAAGCAATGAACCAAAAGAATAATAGATCTAGAGAAATTAAAAAAAACTTTTTCAAAATAATTTAATTAAAGAGATTATTGAGCGAATCGCTTTTAATCTGATCTGTATAAGAGTTGATGAAATCTTCCAATTTTCTGCGGGTAGGGGATCATCGAATCCCGCCTATTGAGTCACGGAGCCATATTTTGGGTCATAGCTTTTTGTTTTCAGCCAATTCGAAATAATTTCAGCCAATTCGAAATAATAAAAAATGTTTTCAGCCAATTCCGTTGACATATAAATTATTAAAATTCATTAAGAATTGACCTAAAATTGAATTTGACCCCTTTTTTGGATTTTCAGGGGTCTGTAATTCGTTCCCTGAATTTGGATTGACCCAATATCAAATCAAAATCTCTCGATTATCCCCCTTAATTATTCTAAATGAAATTATATCCTCTTTAATCCCTCCTAATCCCAAAAATAATGCGGGTACACAAACGTCCCCCTTTGGGTGGGTACACAACCGGCGGTACACAAACGGCCGGTACACAAATGGCCAGGTACACAAGTGGCGGTACACAAACGGCCGTACACAAACGGCGGTACACAAGTGTCCTCTACCGTTCTCTGCAAAGACAGATTTAAAATGTCGGAGCAGTTCAACTGAGTCCGCACGATTGAGTCCCCACGATTGAGTCCGCACGATTGAGTCCCCACGATTGAGTCCCGGCACAATTGAGTCCCCACGATTGAGTCCGCACGATTGAGTCCCCCTTGTATATACCTCAATTGAGTCCCCGTGGATTTAATAAGTTTAAAATTTCCATATCCGGCATGCGGGATTATTCCAAAATTTCTATTTTTTAAAATATAAATGCCGGACAGACCACCTTTGCACCCCTGCTGCACCCCACATACCCTCCGTAGCAGCACAAAACAGTTTTCCAGCGCAGATTCAGTTGGTCATAACTTTGTTCAGAATCATTGAATCAAGCTGATTTTGATGTCATTCGACTCAGCTCGTCGAGCCCTTTCGAATGAGGTATAATTTAATATTCGAATTTTTTGTCCCCAAAAATTCCCCCGTGGATTTGACCATTTCGAGCCCCATATCTTGGCGAGAACCATGTTGATTTTTGTGTCATTCGACTCAGCTCATTCGAATGAGCTTCAAAAAATCTCTCGATATCCCTCCTAATCCCCAAATCCACAATATCCACAATATCCACCCATATCCCCCTTAATCGCTTAAATCTACTTATATCTCTTAATATTCACCGATATCCAACTTGATCCCTCGATGTCACATACAGGTCCCCTGATGTTCACTTTAATCCCCCCAAATCCCCAGATATCCCTCTTAATCCTTTTTAATATAATTAAATCTACGGGGACTCAATTGAGGTATATACAAGGGGGACTCAATCGTGCGGACTCAATCGTGGGGACTCAATTGTGCCGGGACTCAATCGTGGGGACTCAATCGTGCGGACTCAATCGTGGGGACTCAATCGTGCGAACTCAATTGAGGTGTACCGTTAAAATGTCGCTTTTTGGCGTTTTTCTAATATTGCGCCAATCAAACTTATTAAGAATCTTAATTGTGTTAAACTTGTTTTTCGGTATTTGGATTAGAGTTAGGAACGGGTCCGAGAGCTGGACCCGTTTCCCGGTTTCCGGGTCCTTTTTTCCCGGTTTTTTTAAGCAACCGGGTTGAAACCGGGAACGGGTTTTCCCGGTTTCCCGGCCCGGTCCCAGTTTTTTCAAAATTCCTAACTCTAATTTGGATGAGCCATAGCTCTTTTCCTTTTCAATATTACCATTTTTAGGGTCATTTATTTTAATTTCTTAAAATGTTGCGCATCGCTACTCCAAAAATATTTTCACGTTCATTCCATTTTTGCGTTCGAAATGGTCAACAATTCGCTGATCTTAGCAAAATTGTTCATGAAGAATTAGATAAAAAATTCAAAATTGTTTCAACTGATAAGTCAGGTTCAATTTTTAATTTTTTAAACTTTTACAAATTAATTTTTTGGAGGTACAATTCTTCGTGTCTTCGTTTCTGATATGAAATTTGTCGGGTTATCTCTCGATGAACAACATGAGATGGTTTTGAATTCTTTGCCTAAAAATATAAGGTTTGTTTTTAATTGTCAAATTAAATTACCGAATTTCAGAAACCAAATTCGTTTGGAAACTATTCCGTCTGTCAGTAAAGTGGTTTTGATGGAGAATGTTTTTGAGCAAACGAAAATTCCCGCAACTCCGCAGGGACACTTGGATGATGGGGTTCTTTTGTTAAAACGTAGAAGTGCAGCTCTTTCTTCTGAAGCATCATGGGCTTCCGGGTCTCTTCAATTAAAAAATCTCTTGCTTTGTCATCAACTCAACGAAGACGATCACAAATTAAAAAGAAAGATTGTCAAATTTTTAAAGAATTCGTTCACTGACCAAGTTTTATGGGATCTCTTCTTGGCCGCCTGGAAGAATTTGGAAGAGTAAGAGCTTTTCATTAATTTATATGTCTCAAAATTAATTCGTTAAATTGAAATAAGTTTCTTTTTAATTATATGGCCCAACGGTCCAAGTTTTGTCCAGCTGGACAAACTCCGTTTTAAGCATCAGGAGTGATCGGGGGCCCAAGTCTAAAAGTTGAGATTAATGAATCTCTTTACTAAAAGGCATTTCATATTGGTACAGCCCAACTAGGCGCGGGCCAACTAGGCGCTACCGACTAGGCGCTGGCCAGCTAGGCGCAAGACCATCTAGGCGCGAAGCTTTTTAATTAGGTTGGCAATCTCTATCTCTACTACGATATTTTTAACGAAGCAGCGATAATTTTTGATCTTTATAAAGCCATGCCAACAAAAATCCTATCTTTTAGCGCCTCAGGCGAAAATTTTTAGAATTATGGATTTTTTTAAAATTTCTTCGGGACGGGATCCCGCGGGATTAATCCCTTAAATCCCGATAATCCCGTTCGTCGCTTAAAAATTGAAAAATCCCGTAATGGATCCTGTCCCGTGCCGCACACTATTGATTATAAACAAAATATTTAATTAAAAAGCTTCGCGCCTAGTTGGCCTGCGTCCAGGTTTAAAGAATTGAAGCTAGGGTTAACTTTTGCCTGGACAATTGATTTCCTTAGTTTTGCCTCCAAAATAATTCTTTTTGAGAAATAATATATTTCAACTTATGGACAAAATTTGTGGACCTTGGACAGCATAATTTAAAAAAAAACCTAGAATTATCAGGTTTTAGAATTTCTAAAATTTAAAGGTTAAGTAAATTTATAGTCTCACATTTTAGAGGGCACGTAAATCTTTACAATGATAATTGTACTCTGGATGAAGTTAAAAAAATGCTCGTTGATGCTGAATACTTTTGCAATATTCTTTACAACATTTATATGGAGAATTCTCTCAGCCGTGATGATTTCATCAATGGTGTTTCTCCATCTATAATGCATAAGGTTCCAATTTTTAACTTATATTTGCAATTTACAATTATATTTTAGTTGTTGATACCGATAGACGAAAAATGGAATACAATCGAAACGTGGAAGAAGCTTGGCAAAATTGAGTTGGAGGGAACGAGGCCGAATATTAAACTTATTTTTAAATAAATTGTTATAAAAATTTTGATATTTTTTGCGGGTTTTAATAATAAAAATGTTATATCTAAATTTTCATCATTTTTAAATTAATTATTTGAAAATTATTTGAATATTTTTTTATTTATTTTTCCAGTTATTTTTTATTCGTCTTTGGGAGACATTTTCCATTTAAGCGATAGAACAGACCAGTTGAGATGAGCTGGCTGTGTGGCAGTGAATTTGATAGGCTGTAACTTTTTTATCCTTGGGCCGATCCGGATTGATATTAAATCATTTGATAACGGAATATTTTACCAACGATCAAGGGCGTATCCAGGGGGGGGGGGCTAGAGCCCCCCCCCCCCCCCCCGAAATGGGGGAAAGGGGGAAAAAATTAGAAGAAGGATGGTCGAAAAAGTGAAATTTTTTCGCCTACAACCCTCAAATTTAAAAAAATTTTCGCCTGCGGCGCTAAAAAAGGAAGAAATCTGTCTTAAGGACCCCGAAATTTTCCAAAATTTTTGCCTGCGGCGCTGAACAAATAAATTTTTTTGCCTACGGCCTTCTAAAATTCGAAAAATTTTTGCCTGCGGCGCAGAAAAGATAAAAATTTATGTACAAAAAAATTTGCGTCCGGAACGCCAAGGTAAACGCCGAAAATTTTTGCGCCCACCCAGTGTTAGCCCCCCCCCCGAAACCGACCCCCTGGATACGCCCTTGCCAACGATCATGTATGATCATTCCTTAAACAATTAAACACTCAAAAAATTTATTTCACGTATCAAGTCAGAAGTGATCGTCAGGCAAAAAGGATTCCGCTTATAATAATTATTTTTAGGATCATTTATTTTAATTTATTAAAATGTTGCGCATTGCTAATCCAAAAATATTTTCACGTTCATTCCATTTTTGCGTTCGAAATGGTCAACAATTTGCTGATCTTAGCAAAATTGTTCATAATGAATTAGACGAAAAATTCAAATTTGTTTCAACTGCTGGGACAGGTTCAATTTTAATTTTTTAACTTTTTCAAATTAATTTTTTGAAGGTACAATTCTTCCTGTCTTCGTTTCTGACCCGATTTTTGACGGGTTATCTCTGCCGAAACAACGAAAGATGGTTTTGAATTTTTTGCCTAAATATTTAAAGTTTGTTAACCACATTAGAAATTAAATAACAAGATTTCAGGAGCCAAATTCGATTGGAGACTATTCCACCTGTTAGTAAAGTAGTTTTGATGGAGAATGTTTTGGAGCAAACAAAAATTCCATCAACTCCGCAGGATTACTTGAACAATGCTGTGTTTTTGTTAAAAGGTGGAAATGGTTCTCTTGCATCTGAAGCAGCATGGAATTGTGGATCACTTCAGTTATCGAATTTTTTGCTTTGTCATCAACTTGACGCTAAACATGACGAATTAAAAAAGAAAATTGTCGGTTTTTTAGAAAATTCGTTCACTGACGCGATTTTATGGAAACGCTTCTATGTTGCTTGGTCACTGTTGGAAGAGTAAAATTTTTAAATATTTATCTCCGAATCCTTAATTCTTTTCTAGAAATTTGAAAATAATTATTTCCATCTAATTAACACATTTTAGGGGCTATGAAAACTATTTCGAGGATGATTGTACTTTGGATGAAGTTAAAGAATTTCTTGAGTATGCTGAATCTTTTTGCAATATTCTTTACAATATTTATATGGAGAACTCTCTCAGCCGTGATGATTTCATCAATGGAGTTTCTCCTTATTTTATGGAAGAGGTTCAAAACTTTTTTAACTTATTTGTAATTTACAATTATATTTTAGTTGTTGATACCAATAGACGGCGAATGGAAGACAATCGAAAAGTGGAAGAAACTTGGCAAAATTGAGTTGGAAGGAAAGAAGCCAAATATTAAACTTATTTTTAAATAAGTTGTTATAAAAATTTTAATATTTTTTGCGGGTTGTAATAAATAATAAAAATGTTAATATCCAAATTTTCGTTATTTTCTATTTAATTTAAAATTATTTTAGTTTTTTTTGAGTCGAATAAATTTATTTTTCACTTAAATGCAATTAAAAATACATTTTTAGTCACAATATATTGTTTTTTTATTTTGTTTTATTAATTTTCGCTAAAAGGATTCGAACCCCGCTCACATTTGCTTATTTTTTCGCTTTCAAGTGGCCCACTATCCAACTAAGCCACAAGTACCGCACTGAAAGGCGAATAAGCCTTTGCTTATTTTGATCTGCTTTGTGGCAGTGGAGAGCGAATTAGCGCAGCAATCAATCCCAAAGAGGAAATTAATGTAGAACCTTGAAGCAATGAACCAAAAGAATAATAGATCTAGAGAAAATTTAAAAAACTTTTTCCAAAATAATTTAATTAAAGAGATTATTGAGCGAATCGCTTTTAATCTGGCTTTTAATCTGATCTGTATAAGAGTTGATGAAATCTTCCAATTTTCTGCGGGTAGGTGATCATCGAATCCCGCCTGTTGAGTCCCGGAGCCATATTTTGGGTCATCCTCCGGTGGGACTCAACTGGGACTCGACCGGTGGGACTCAACTGGGACGTTCCGATTCTCTGCAAAGACAGATTTAAAATGTCGCTTTTTGGCGTTTTTTTAATATTGCGCCAATCAAACTTATTAAGAATCTTGATTGTGTTAAACTTGTTTTTCGGTATTTGGATGTGCCATAGCTCTTTTCCTTTTCAATAGTTATTATTTTTAAGGTCATTTATTATATTTTCTTAAAATGTTTCTCATCGCCACTTCAAAAATATTTTCACGTTCATTCCATTTTTGTGTTCGAAATGGTCAACAATTCGCAGATCTTAGCAAAATTGTTCATAAAGAATTAGACGAGAAATTCAAATTTGTTTCAACTGCTGAGACAGGTTCAATTTTAATTTTTTAACTTTACAAATTAATTTTTTGAAGGTACAATTCTTCGTGTCTTCATTTCTGATATGAAATTTGTTGGGTTACCTCTCGAGGAACAACATGAGATGGTTTTGAATTCTTTGCCTAAAAATATAAGGTTTGTTTTTAATTGTCAAATTAAATCACCGAATCTCAGGGACAAAATTCGCTTGGAGACTATACCCTCTGTTAGTAAAGTGGTTTTGATGGAGAATGTTTTGGAGCAAAGAAAAATTCCTGCAACTCCGCAGGGCCACTTAGATGATGGGGTTCTTTTGTTAAAACGTGGAAGTGCAGCTCTTTCTTCTGAAGCATCATGGGCGTGCGGATCTTTTCAATTAAAAAATCTTCTGCTTTGTCATCATCTCAACGAAGACGATCACAATTTAAAAACAAAGATTGTCAAATTTTTAAAGAAAAGGTTCGCTGACGAAATTTTACGGAAAAGCTTCTGGGCCGCCTGGAAGAATTTAGAAAAGTAATAGCGTATATTAATTTATATGTCCTAAAATTAATTCGTTAAATTGAAATTAGTTTCTTTTTAATTATATGGCCCAACAGTCCAAGTTTTGTCTAGCTGGACAAACTCTGTTTTAAGCATCAGGAGTGATCGGGGCCCAAGTCTAAAAGTTAAAATTAACGAATCTCTTCACCAAAATGCATTTTTTTATTGGGTTGAATAACTGGGTTTAAAGAATTGAAGCTAGGGTCAACTATTGCCTGGACAATGGATTTCCTGGGTGTTTTGCCTCCAAAATAATCCTTTTTGAGAAATAATATATTTCAACTTATTGACGAAATTTGCGGACCTTGGGCAGCGTAATTTTTAAAAACTAAAGAATTTCTAAAATCTAAGGGTTAAGTAAATTTATAGTCTCACATTTTAGCGGACACAAAAATTTTTACAATGATGATCGTAATCTGGAGGAAGTTAAAGAAATGCTTGTTGATGCCGAATCTTTCTGTAATATTCTTTACAATATTTATATGGAGAATTCTCTCAGCCGTGATGATTTCATCAATGGTGTTTCTCCATCTATAATGCATAACGTTCCAATTTTTAACTTATATTTGCAATTTACAATTATATTTTAGTTGATGCTACCAATAGACGAAAAATGGAAGACAATCGATGCGTGGAAGAAACTTGGCAAAATTGAATTTGAAGGAACGAGGCCGAATATTAAGCTTATTTTTAAATAAGTTGTTATAAAAATTTTAATATTTTTTGCGGGTTTTAATAAATAATAAAAATGTTATATCTAAATTTTCATCATTTTTAAATTAATTATTTGAAAATTATTTGAATATTTTTTGTTTAATTTCCTAGAGTTATTTTTTATTCATCTTTGGGAGACATTTTCCATTTAAGCGATAGAACAGACCAGTTGAGTACGAGCTGGCTGTGTGGCAGTGAATTTGATAGGCTGTAACTTTTTTATTCTTTGGCCGATTCGGATTGATATTAAATCATTTGATAACGGAATATTTTACCAACGATCATGTCTGATCATTCCTTAAACAATTAAACACTCAAAAAATTTATTTCACGTATCAAGTCAGAAGTGATCGTCAGGCAAAAAGGATTCCGCTTATAATAATTATTTTTAGGATCATTTATTTTAATTTCTTAAAATGTTGCAGATTGCTACTTCAAAAATATTTTCACGTTCATTCCATTTTTGCGTTCGAAATGGTCAACAATTTGCTGATCTTAGCAAAATTGTTCACAAAGAATTAGACGAACGATTCAAATTTGTTTCAACTGCTGAGTCAGGTTCAATTTTAATTTTTTAAACTTTTACAAATTAATTTTTTGAAGGTACAATTCTTCCTGTTTTCGTTTCTGACCCGATATTTGACGGGTTATCTCTGCGGAAACAACGAGAGATGGTTTTGAATTTTTTGCCTAAATATTTAAAGTTTGTTACCACATTAGAAATTAAATAACTGAATTTCAGGAACCAAATTCGATTGGAGACTATTCCACCTGTTAGTAAAGTAGTTTTGATGGAGAATGTTTTGGAGCAAACGAAAATTCCAGCAACTCCGCAGGATTACTTGAACAATGCTGTGTTTTTGTTGAACGGTGGAAATGGTTCTCTTGCATCTGAAGCAGCATGGAATTGTGGATCACTTCAGTTATCGAATTTTTTGCTTTGTCATCAACTTGACGCAAAACATGACGAATTAAAAGAGAGAATTGTCCGTTTTTTAGAGAATTCGTTCACTGATCGGATTTTATGGCAATGCTTCTATGCTACTTGGTCAACGTTGGAAGAGTAAAATTTTTAAATATTTATCCCCGAGTCCTTAATTCTTTTCTAGAAATTTGAAAATAATTATTTCCATCTAATTAACACATTTTAGGGGCTATGAAAACTATTTCGAGGATGATTGTACTTTGGATGAAGTTAAAGAAATTCTTGAGTACGCTGAGGACTTTTGCAATATTCTTTACAATATTTATATGGAGAATTCTCTCAGCCGTGATGATTTCATCAATGGTGTTTCTCCTTATTTTATGGACGAGGTTCAAAACTTTTTTAACTTATTTGTAATTTACAATTATATTTTAGTTGTTGATACCAATAGACGGCGAATGGAAGACAATCGATGTGTGGAAGAAGCTTGGCAAAATTAAGTTGGAAGGAACGAGGCCGAATATTAAGCTTATTTTTAAATAAGTTGTTATAAAAGTTTTAATATTTTTTGTGGGTTGTAATAAATAATAAAAATGTTAATATCCAAATTTTCGTTATTTTCTATTTAATTATATGAAGATTATTCTAAAATTATCTAAAAATTGACATGGTTTGTTTGGCAGTGGAGAGCGAATTAACGCAGCAATCAATCCCAAAGAGGAAATTAATGTAGAACCTTGAAGCAATGAACCAAAAGAATAATAGATCTAGAGAAATTAAAAAAAACTTTTTCCAAAATAATTTAATTAAAGAGATTATTGAGCGAATCGCTTTTAATTTGATCTGTATAAGAGTTGATGAAATCTTCCAATTTTCTGCGGGTAGGGGATCATCGAATCTCCCTGTTAAGTCCCGGAGCCATATTTTGGGTCATAGCCTCCGGTGGGACTCAACTGGGACTCGACCGGTGGGACTCAACTGGGACGTTCCGATTCTCTGCAAAGACAGATTTAAAATGTCGCTTTTTGGCGTTTTTCTAATATTGCGCCAATCAAACTTATTAAGAATCTTAATTGTGTTAAACTTGTGTTTCGGTATTTGGATTAGAGTTAGGAACATGTCCGGGACCGTTTCCCGGTTTACGAGTCCTTTTTCCCGGTTCTTTCGAAGCAACCGGGTCGAAACCGGGAACGGGTTTTCCCGGACCCGGTTCCCGGCCGGTCCATTTTTTAGAACCCGTTTCCCGGTCTTGGTTTTTTCAAAATTCCTAACTCTAATTTGGATGAGCCATAGCTCTTTTCATTTTAAATATTTATTATTTTTAAGGTCATTTATTTTAATTTCTTAAAATGTTTCTCATCGCCTCTTCAAAAATATTTTCACGTTCATTCCATTTTTGCGTTCGAAATGGTCAAAAATTTGCAGATCTTAGCAAAATTGTTCATAAAGAATTAGACGAAAAATTCAAACTTGTTTCAACTGATAAGTCAGGTTCAATTTTAATTTTTTAACTTTTACAAATTAATTTTTTGAAGGTACAATTCTTCGTGTCTTCGTTTCTGATATGAAGTTTGTCGGGTTGCCTCTCCATGAACAACATGAGATGGTTTTGAATTCTCTGCCTAAAAATATAAGGTTTGTTTTTAACTGTCAAATTAAATCACCGAATCTCAGGGACAAAATTTGTTTGGAGACTATTCCATCTGTTAGTAAAGTGGTTTTGATGGAGAATGTTTTGGAGCAAACAAAAATTCCTGCAACTCCGCAGGGCCACTTAGATGATGGGGTTCTTTTGTTAAAAAGTGGAAGTGCAGCTCTTTCTTCTGAAGCATCATGGGCGTGCGGATCTTTTCAATTAAAAAATCTTCTGCTTTGTCATCATCTCAACGAAGACGATCACAAAATAAAAACAAAGATTGTCAAATTTTTAAAGAAAACGTTTACTGACGAAATTTTACGTGATCGCTTCTATGACGACTGGAAGAATTTAGAAAAGTAATAGCTTATATTAATTTATATGTCCTAAAATTAATTCGTTAAATTGAAATTAGTTTCTTTTTAATTATATGGCCCAAATGTCCAAGTTTTGTCAAGCTGAACAAACTCCGTTTTAAGTTTCAGTCTGCAGAGGAGAAAGAACGTAAACGAAGTTTAGTTCTTGTAGGTTTGCCTGAACAACAAGACAACTCACCACAGCAACGAGCAGCCAAGGATCAGGCTGAGGTTAGCAAGCTACTCGATGAGCTAGGCGTTGAGGCTCTTCCTATAACTTCTTATAGGATGGGTTCTAATAAAAACCTAGCACAAAAAGGCAAGTCTAGACCTATCAAAATTGTGCTTCCCTCGAAATCTTTTCAGTGGCAAGCTTTGGGAATGTGGAAACAACGACGTCAGCAAATTTGGAAACAACAGAATTGGAATGGAATTTATATTAGACCTTCTTTAACTCGGCAACAACTACAAGAAGAATATGAAGAAAGACAAAGGAAAAGGCAAATGAAAGCTGCGGATGATCTTGAAAACATTGCTATGGAAATGTCAGAAAATCAAAAAAAACTCGTGAGGTCTGATAAGTTTGTTTTTAATAAATTCGAACTTTGTTCTAGCCACAATAAATTAAGTCATTATTATTACAAACTAACCCAAAAAACTAAATTAAGCCTAAAATTTAAAAAGAAAAATTCAGCTCCATATAATAAGGGTTTGGGGAATATAAATTGTATTTACTTTAATGCTCGAAGTTTACTAAATAAAACTAACGAGCTTCGGCTACTTTTAATATCACGGAAATACACAATCATATTAGTTACTGAAACCTGGTTAAATCCTTCTATACCGGATAGTATGTTATTACACAATAATGAATATGATTTAGTACGGGCTGATAGAAATAAGAAAAAAGGTGGTGGTGTCTGTATTTTTATTCATAAATCAATACCAATTTCTGTCAACAAAATCGTTTGTAATCCAGCAATTAATATGCTTTCTATTGACTTACACCTACCTAAACTAAATACATTAAGAATAATTTTAGTCTATAGATCACCAACTTTTCAAACCATCAATCAATTTAGTAATTTTATTGAATCTATTAATTATTGCTGTAGTACAGATAAAACATGTTTGTTATTGGGTGATTTCAATTTTCCTGGGATTAGATGGACAGAAAACTTACCCACCTCTCACAATACTTCTTATGAAAAAGAATTTACCAATTTTATTATTAGTCAAAAACTAAAACAATTAGTCACACAAAGCACTAGAGCTAACAATACTTTAGATTTAGTTTTTTCTAACCAAGTAGAATTAATAGAACGCCTCACAATAACAGCCCCATTTGGTACATCTGATCATAATATAATTACTTTTGAGATTAAGTACGAACAGATCCCTCAAAAACTTATTTCGATTAGAAACTTTAAGAAAGCAAATTACACTATAATTAACGAACACTTAAATTCTATTGACTGGATATCAGCTTTTTCCACATCGAATGACATTGATATAAATTATCAAATCTTTCAAAATATAATTCTAGAAATTATAGACTTTTATATACCGATTAAAACAATTAGGTTAAGATTCGATAACTTCCCATTGCACATTAAAAAATTAATCAAAATTCAAGAAAACTATTGGTGTAAAAAAATCCACATTAACAATAGACCGAGATATCTTAAAATTACTCATATATTAAACAAACAAATTAGTAAATTTCTAAAAAACAAAGAAAGAAAAATACAGTTTGACAACAAAAAGAAATTTAACTATGTAGGGCCATTCATAAAAACAAAAAATTCAAAATTAAACTCTTTAATCGATGAAAATAATAAACTAATTTATGACAAAGGTCATATAGCTGAATTACTTGCACATCAATTTAGTTCTGTTTTCAAAATTCCAGAAGCCCATATTACAAAAATAGATAAGAATATGCACTCTACATATGTATCGGACAAAATAGATCACATCTATTTCACAGCACAAGATATATTTTATTATCTCAGTAAACTTACCAGCAAAATTAACACATCTCCAGACAATATTCCTAATATTTTCTTAAAAAATTGCTCACATAGTCTAGCTTATCCATTATATAATATATTCAGCTTATCCTTTCTCGTAAAAAAGCTGCCAACAATTTGGAAAAATACCACGATAATACCCATCCCTAAAATAGCTAAAGCGACAAAAGCTGCAGAATTCAGACCTATTTCAATGCTCTGTTCCACCTCCAAAGTACTAGAAAAAATAATTGCAAATGAATTACTTGCTTATGGACGCGCAAATGGGATTTTTCCCAAAGAGCAGCATGGGTACCAAAATGGAAAATCAATAACCACCCAATTATTAGAGGTAATGGATGACTTCTCCTTAGCATTAGAAAACAAAAAATCTATTGATGTTGTCTATATCGATTTAGCAAAAGCCTTTGACATAATACCACACAATAAACTCATAAATAAATTAATTAATGTTGGGATATCCGGATCGCTTTTAAAATGGTTAACTGATTACTTAAACTCTAGAACTTTTAGAGTATTAATAAATGATTCCTTTTCTGCTGTTACCCCTATAGCTAGCGGAGTCCCGCAGGGATCTGTGCTTGGACCTGTTCTATTTCTTTACTATATTCACGATATCATAGAATTCTGTAAAGTTGATAATGTAACTATAAAACTTTATGTAGATGATATAAAAGCCTTTTATATTTTCGATGATACACCAACTAACAACCCACTACAATATTTTCTTGAAAAATTTGAAAATTACATAAGTGACAATAGTTTAGAAGTGTCTATTAACAAATGTAATATTCTTCACTTGGGAAATAAAAATCCGAATATTAGTTATAATCTCTTAAATTCATCACTATCTAAAATTGAAAAAGGTCAAACTGTAAGGGATCTAGGTATTCTATTCGATCATTCATTAAAATTCCAAAATCATATTGAAACTATTTGTAACAAGGCCAAAAAAATAAGTTACATTATTCTTAAATCCCTAAAATCAAATAATGAAAAATTCTTAATAAACATGTTTAATACTTATGTTAGGAGCATACTTGAGTTTGGTTCTCCTATTTGGAACCCTCATTTTCAAAAAGACATAAATAAAATAGAAAAAATCCAAAATAATTTCCTTAAAATGATATATTACAGACAACATCCATCATCTACTATTTCAAGGGATTTTAATAATACTATATCATATTCAGAATTGCTTAATAAATATCAGGTTATGAGTTTGGAAAAAAGGAGAAAAATTCAAGACTTAAAAATATTCCATAGACATATCAAAGGCTATAGCCTCATTTCAGTAAATAATCCATATTTATTTATACCGTCTAAAACCAGAGGGGATATCACAAAATTAACTCATAAACCATGTTCATCCTTAATTAGGCATAATTCATTTTTTATTCGAAATGTAAGGGCTTATAATAAATTACCAGAAAACATTAAAAAACTAGATATTATAAATTTTAACAGAATTATCTCATTAATAGACTTTTAGAACAAAGTTCGAATTTTCAGACAATGCTGCCTCAAATTATAATCAATTGCTGCGTTTTGTATTTTTATTTTTTATTGTCTTATAATTTTCATTTTATTTGTATTAGCATTTATTTGTATTCACCATTTTATTTGTATTGAGCATTTTCTTGACAGCACCGTAATAGGTGTAAATAAATAAATAAATAAATAAATAAATAAATAAATAAATATGGCCCAAATGTCCAAGTTTTGTCAAGCTGAACAAACTCCGTTTTAAGTTTCAGGAGTGATCGGGAGCCCAAGTCTAAAAGTTAAGATTAATGAATCTCTTCACCAAAATGCATTTTTTATTGGGTTGAATAACTGAGTTTAAAGAATTGAAGCTAGGGTCAACTATTGCCTGGACAATGGATTTCCTTGAATTTCCTGAGTGTTTTGCCTCCAAAATAATCCTTTTTGAAAAATAATATATTTTAACTTATTGACGAAATTTGCTGACATTGGGTAGCATAAGTTTAAAAAACCTAGAATTATCATTTTTAGAATTTCTAAAATTTAAAGGTTAAGTAAATTTATAGTCTTACATTTTAGAGGACATGTAAATCTTTACAATGATAATCATACTCTGGATCAAGTTAAAGAAATGCTTGTTGATGCCGAATCTTTCTGTAATATTCTTTACAATATTTATATGGAGAATTCTCTCAGCCGTGATGATTTCATCAATGGTGTTTCTCCATCTATAATGCATAAGGTTCCAATTTTTAACTTATATTTGCAATTTACAATTATATTTTAGTTGTTGATACCGATAGACGAAAAATGGAATACAATCGAAAATTGGAATAAGCTTGGCAAAATTGAGTTGGAGGGAACGATGCCGAATATTAAACTTTTTTTTAAATAAATTCTTATAAAAATTTTGATATTTTTTGCGGTTTTAATAATAAAAATGTTATATCTAAATTTTCATCATTTTTAAATTAATTATTTGAAAATTATTTGAATATTTTTTGATTTATTTCTCCAGTTATTTTTTATTCGTCTTTGGGAGACATTTTCCATTTAAGCGATAGAACTAGAGATCGGAACGGGATCGGGACCCGGTCCCGTTTCCCGGTTTCCCGGTCCTTTTTCCCGGCTTTTTTGAAGATGCCGGGATGAAACCGGGATCGGGAATTCCCGGTTTTCCCGGTCCGGGTCCCGGCCGGTTAATTTTCATTTCCCGTTTCCCGATCCCGGCTTTTTTTGGACCGGGAAACCGGGAAAAATTCTAGCAGCTAATTTTAAATATTTTTGCTTGGCGTTTTGATTTTTGACTTAAAAATATTGAAGATTTTACAAAAATTCTCAAAATTTTCGCCTGCGGCGCTGAAAACGGAAGAAATTTGGCTGTTTGGCTTTCCAAAATTCGCAAAATTTTCGCGGAAGAATTTGGAACGGAGAAATTTGGAGGTATTATTGGAGGAAAATTTGAGGGAATTTAGTGTATAGTGCGATTTTATCAAGGGACCTGATGATTAAGCCATCTTTATCCCTCTAACAAATAAATCCATTAGATCTGCCTTAATCATCTGATATCATTGCCTTCCAATTGAAGAGATTTGAATAGATATCAGGTGATTAAGGTGGTTGGAGGTCTTTCTCCACAATCTCTCTTAATGCTACCCAACAAATACTTGATCTCTCGATATCTCTTTTAATCCCTGATATCACTATTGCACAGAAAAAATCAGAGTGTATTTGGAGGGATTAAATAAAAATTAAATTAAATAAAAATTAAATCTGCATTAAGGTGGATTAGCAGGGATTAAAGGGAATTAGATGAGGAATACCTATAGGCGATATAAAAAAATTTGAGGAGCGTATCGGGAGATCTTAAACTCCAAAATTGCCCAATATCCCACAATCCTTCTCTAGCCTCTCAAATCCCTTTAGCCCTACATAATCCTCTTTATGTTTTAATTTTTTGTAATTTACATTTGTTTTATTGATGTATTTTACTGATATATTAAATTTTTCTATTTATAAATCAGATTTTTCAATAAATAACTACGCCCATAGCTTTTTAAAATTTTTAAATGAATTTAAAATTTTTTTTAAATTTCCCGGTCCGGGTCCCGGTCATTTTTGACCGGGATGAAACCGGGAACGGGAATTCCCGGTTTTCCCGGTCCGGGTCCCTCCCGGTCGACCTTCAGAACCCCCGGTTCCCGGTCCCGGTTTTTTCAAAATTCCGATCTCTAGATAGAACGGGATCACCCCTAAATATCACCCCCCTAAATATCACCACCCTAAATATCACCACCCAAAATATCACTTGACCCTAAATATCACCACCCAAAATATCAAATGACCCAAAATATCACCAACTAAAATATCATTGATTCGAACTATTAGGTAGAGAGTGAGCTGGATCTGGATCCAGACCTTGATTTTTCCTGGATCCAGAGTAGGATGTGAACGGATATATGGGGATATCCGCGGATGTGGAAGCAAATACCAAGATGAGGACCATGGTTCCGACAACTGGCTCGTATTTTTTAGAAGTTTACGGTGATGGGGATGAGGAGATTAATCTTTTATTATTTTTTTGTTCGAATCAACGATATTTTAGTTGGTGATATTTTGGGTCATTTGATATTTTGGGTGGTGATATTTAGGGTCAAGTGATATTTTGGGTGGTGATATTTAGGGTGGTGATATTTAGGGGGGTGATATTTAGGGGTGAAGTCGATAGAACAGACCAGTTGAGTACGAGCTGGCTGTGTGGCAGTGAATTTGATAGGCTGTAACTTTTTTAACCTTGGGCCGATCCGGATTAATATTAAATCATTTGATAACGGAATCTTTTACCAACGATCATGTCTGATCATTCCTTAAACAATTAAACACTCAAAAAATTTATTTCACGTATCAAGTCAGAAGTGATCGTCAGGCAAAAAGGATTCCGCTTATAATAATTATTTTTAGGATCATTTATTTTAATTTCTTAAAATGTTGCGGATTGCTACTTCAAAAATATTTTCACGTTCATTCCATTTTTGCGTTCGAAATGGTCAACAATTTGCTGATCTTAGCAAAATTGTTCACAAAGAATTAGACGAACGATTCAAATTTGTTTCAACTGCTGAGACAGGTTCAATTTTAATTTTTTAAACTTTTACAAATTAATTTTTTGAAGGTACAATTCTTCCTGTTTTCGTTTCTGACCCGATATTTGACGGGTTATCTCTGCGGAAACAACGAGAGATGGTTTTGAATTTTTTGCCCAAATATTTAAAGTTTGATACCACATTAGAAATTAAATAACAAGATTTCAGGAGCCAAATTCGATTGGAGACTATTCCACCTGTTAGTAAAGTAGTTTTGATGGAGAATGTTTTGGAGGAAACAAAAATGCCAGCAACTCCACAGGATTACTTGAACAATGCTGTGTTTTTGTTAAAAGGTGGAAATGGTCCTCTTGCATCTGAAGCAGCATGGAATTGTGGATCACTTCAGTTATCGAATTTTTTGCTTTGTCATCAACTTGACGCAAAACATGACGAATTAAAAGAGAGAGTTGTTGATTTTTTAAAGAATTCGTTCACTGACCAGATTTTATGGCGACGCTTTCATGTTGCCTGGAAATTGTTGGAGGAGTAAAATTTTTAAATATTTATCCGAATCCTTAATTCTTTTTCGAGAAATTTGAAAATAATTATTTCCATCTAATTAACACATTTTAGGGGCTATGAAAACTATTTCGAGGATGATTGTACTTTGGATGAAGTTAAAGAATTTCTTGAATATGCTGAACACTTTTGCAATATTCTTTACAATATTTATATGGAGAACTCTCTTAGCCGTGATGATTTCATCAATGGAGTTTCTCCTTATTTTATGGAAGAGGTTCAAAACTTTTTTAACTTATTTGTAATTTACAATTATATTTTAGTTGTTGATACCAATAGACGGCGAATGGAAGACAATCGAAAAGTGGAAGAAGCTTGGCAAAATTGAGTTGGAAGGAACAAGGCCGAATATTAAGCTTATTTTTAAATAAGTTGTTATGAAAATTTTAATATTTTTTACGGGTTTTAATAAATAATAAAAATGTTATATCAAAATTTTCATTATGTTCGATTTAATTATACGTATTATCGTTAATGTTATTTGAATTTTTTGTGGAATTTTGTTTTCAGATCTCCTTTCCATCCCAATAAATATATTAAATGAAAAAATGTTTTATTTTTCTAAATAAAAATCAAAAAGGATGTACTATTGTACAAATACATGGTTTATGGCTTTTTTAAAATCAAAACAAAAATTTTTAAATCGTTAAAGACCATGTGTACAATGCAATTTATTTGTGTCATTGAAAAATAAAATATTCAAAACCCGGAAATTTTGGGAGAATTGTATATTCATTTTTTATTCAATTTCCATTGCTTCGTTAACATTATGAGGCGATAAATGTCCATAGCCATTTACCGCAGTCCAAGCAGTCTGTTCACGAGCCTGATTAATTTTTGGTAGTGTTAGTTTTCAATCTTTTTAAATTTTCTACCTGCATTTCCTTCATAGCAGTCAATTCATTATTTGTATTAATTATATCCCATAAATCTGTTAATTTCTGAGAACGATCACTATTTGGCACACGCTTCAATGCCAAAACTGTTCGAACTGCAGAACGTTTCAATTCCTCATGTTTATCACTTTCTTGTTTGACAGCATTTTGTTTTGGACGTGACAATAGTTGAGGCTTGAAAGAATAATATTTTTAATTGATTTTTCTTTAAATTTTTACCTTAATATGTTCACAAAATCCATCCAAACGCTGAGATATTTGTATTGGGCATTTATTAACCAGCCGAGTGAGCATTAAATAGGCAAGAAGTCGAATATCATGAGAATCCTACAAAATAAATTTATTGAAAAATTTTATGTTAAAATTACTTTAAGTCCATTTTCCACAAAAGATAAATATTCAGCCAAATTTACACGGTCCAAACATTGATCAGCAAGAGTGTACATGCTTAATTAAAAGAATATTTTAAAGAAAAATTTTCATAAAAGTCCAAGCCCCTTAAAAATTAATCAAATACGATTCTTCAACCCTAAAATATTTTTCAATTTAAATTCCAAATTTTCTCACCATTCAAAAGCAGCTTTTCTCAAATCTAATCCATCATCTACAACATGTTTAAAGGGGCCCATTTCAACTTCTCGAACCAATTCTTGCTTTACTTTAGTTTCCTCATAAAGTGCTTGTAATAATGAAGGCAAATATTCTTTGATTAATTTAGGCTTGTTATGAACAGCAGAATTTAATGTAACAATTGCAACACGACGAACATTTAAATCATTGTCACGGATAGCAGCAAAGAACTGTCCAAGGACTGGACGTAAATGTTCATCTACCGAAGTACGAGGCTGTTCCGCAATTAAGAAACGTAAAGCGGTGACAACAGTAGCACGGACGTTGGCAGAAGAGCTATTGACTTGTTGCTGGAATAAAAAGAATTTTTTCAGAGAAATTATGGGAAATTTGTCTCCCACAACAAAAAAACTCACAACTAATTCGCCCACAAAATGTCCAGGATTAACAGTGCACAAACGACCAATACATTCTGCCACAACATTTCTAATACTTTCTTCATTAGATCCACAATATTTAATTAATAATTCCCAAATTTCAGCAACTCCATTTGTGAAAACAACATCAGCCTTTTCCAAAGAACAAGTTGCGCCTGTTTGTTCATCAATAACTTCTTTTAATGCATGCAAAAATAAATATTGACGTCTCTCTTCTTTAGAAATTTCCATAAGTAAAAATGGAAGAAATTTTGTTAAATTTCCAGTTGCCAAGTTTCCAAGAGCATAACTAGCAGCTGATTTAATCTCTTCAAGTGGA